ATTCGCCAAATCCCCAATCCCTGAACCCTAGGAATCCTAAGCTCTAGAGCCCAAGAGTCCGACAAAAAATGCAATTCATCTTGAGCTTAAGCGTGGTTTAGTGATGGAGCCGATTAGAGTTACTAGGGGGGAGGCTTCCCCTCTCTGATGTTACCCTACCCTAGGTTCACCCTTATTCAGCTGCACTCGCCTTAGCTGCCTCTAAACGAACCCGATTAAAGGGAAAACCTGGCTCCTAGTCGCCTAAGCATTGTGGGAGAACTGCATTCCATTGCTCACCAATACTTTTTAGAGCCTGGGAGAAATTCAAAATGGAGTTTCCAACAGCTACGGGCCCTTTCAGGGTCCCAGTAATTTTTGTTGTAGTATTTGGGGTTGTATAAGGGGACCCACATCCTGGAAACTCCCAACATGTCTGCATCCAAAGCTACGATGGCAGACGCGAAGAGAAAACTTGATCGCCGCAGTCCTGTAGTTGATACTACGAATCCTGCATGTATGGGGTTTGGGAGTGGGATCTAGGGCTCAGGGACTGTAGGTTTTATGGTTTACAGTTGGTACTGAAGATCCTGTATCATGCTGTAGACTAAGCTCATGCAGATTCTGAGTAATGTAGACCCGTGGTTAGTTAACCCCCTCGTTTGAACGGCTTTGATATTAGGATCCCTATTTTCATCCATATTAAGGGAAAGAGCTTATTAATCACGAGTCTGCACTATCAACCCTATCCAAGGCCGTCTGGCACTGCAGCCAAGACATCACACATTTCTTATCATCTCATCACAGATGTTGCTTGAAACCTTGTTTAGGTTTAGGGGCGCTAAATCTGGACGTGTAGACATAGACACAGCCCCATGTCCGAAAACAAGTTAGGGTACAGTTTGGATACTGGATACTCCCCGCACCCTACCCTGCTGCTTGACACCCAGAATAAGTGTCCTTACATGCGATGGTCGCAGTATCCAGGGTGTAGTATTTAGGTGCAAAAAGAGGGGTCAACAAAAAGGAAACCCTCCCAGCCACGCACGCGTGCCACAAGATTTAGTTCAATGCTGAGCCACCTGTAGGATCACAGATTAAGGGTTAAGGGTTCAGACTATATTCATGTGGGGGATTGTCAAAATTNNTACGGGGCCTAATTTAGGGGACCCGAAAAGGGACCATAATTTTGACAATCCCCCATGTACTTCCAGGAGACTTCCGCGACATACCCCTTTGGAAGAGAAACTGAGATGGTGGCATGAATGTAATTTAGGGGCAGGATTTGAGGTGGACCGCGTGGTGGGCCTTGGGGATCTTTGGGCACGTGCCCTTACGGACGAAAAGGTGGAAATGTTTATGACTTTTCACAAAAGGCCTACATACCTCCTGAGCAAACTTTGAATTTTACATACTCCCAAAGAAAGGTGGGATTATCCACTTTATACCGTCCTGCCACTGGCCCGGAAATTTTCGGTGATCTTTGGGACAGGCGGCTTGAAACGAAGCTTGCTCGGCAGGGGAGAAAAGGATTTACATCCTGGCGTAGGTTCAGGGCCTAGCATAATAGTAACAGTACTAGTAATAGTAACAGTAATAGCAATATTGACAGTTTGAGAAGGAAAGGTCTTGTCCGATTCCCCTAAGCTTAAGATTCTCTCACTTACAGTCAGTTGTCCCAACTTCGTTTTCAAAGGCGCGGGACCCAAGGTACATGCACAAAATGTACAAATCGGATTCCTGTTTAGGGTTTAGGGAAGCCGTAGCACAGTCTGCATCAAAATTCAGTAAGCAAGCTGTTGATGGGGTACTGCCCCCACTCATTAATAGCTGGATATTGCTCATAGTTCAAGTATATAGAGGCCTTTATATGAGCTATAGTCTAAAGTCCAAACATAAGCCACCCGGGGGGGCTGGGGGTAATAGGTTATGAACCCTCTACAAACAGTATAAACCTCTCTTCCACCCAATATTATAACATATTATAGGTAACCCCCAACAAGGCCCACTTGCTTTTGGAAAACCTCCATATGGGTACCGCGGCGGCGGACTTCTATTGCAGGTTCCCTCGGCTGCTGGTGGCGAGGCCTCAACTGCTCCTAGGTCTGCATAGGGTTTAGGGCACAGAAGTTCTAAGTGGCACAACTGCCAATTCTCCCTCTGTCGTTTTATAAGGGGAGGCTCTTCACTAAACCTTAGACCCTAAACCCTACATCCTAAGATCGCATACAGACATTCCTGAGGGTAATTACGGAATTAGGCTTGGGAGTTTCTGAAGTTCGGGGCTCAGGAGATAGGATTCAGAGATTACGGTCTGTCGAAAGTACAGGGCCTTTTGCTTCAATTTCTGTGATGAGGGCTTCTTCGTTTACAGGGCTTCTTCGTTTACAGGAGGACCTTCCTCCTGAATCTGCAATCTTTGGGGCTTATGGAGTTTTTAGACTTAGGGTAGAGAAGTGTGAGGACCTATGTGCCATAATCCTTTTTAAAGGCCAAAAGTGGGAAATCCTCTGTTTCTGAATCGAACTCCAGGGTTTGGGGTTTAGGGTCTGTCATAATTGTGGCCCTTCCTTCCGGGGCCCTGCAGCTTATCTCCGTAAAGTGTTTGCTCTTAGTGCGGCATGCCTCCTTGGTGGGTCAGAAATAGACATAGCTGCTAATGCTATACTGCAACCCAATTAGGAATGCACACATAATGTAGTAGCAATGTTTTCCCAGAACCCAATCAGGAATATGCACCTACCTTCTTAACAGCCCGTTGCGACACCAGTTGCAACACAAAGGGAGACCTCGATTCTGACAACCGCAAGTATAAGGGGCACCGCCAAAACCTGGGTCATCGCGGTTTGGGATTGTGCTGCTGAGTACAGTCTTCTTGCTGAACTAAAGCCCAAGAAGGAACGCAGCGGCAACAATTAGCTAATATGGAGCCAGCTATGTTTAGGTACCTCAGCAGGTATTTAAGGCTGGTTGTTGTCAGAGTCTTATTTCCCTTGCTTCACAGACATGCGATGAAATCATGCAAACATGTGAGCTATAGTCTAA